GCACTCCCTCTTCAGAGCGCGGCCCCCAATCGAGGGGCGGGTCCTCCTCCCGGCGGGCTCAGGCCCCGCAGGTTGGCGGGAGCGGGCGGGGGCGGGCCGCCGCGGGTCCCGAGAAGCCGAGAGAAGGATGCCGCGCGCCGCGCTCAAACTCGCGCCACCACCAGCTCACGAGCTGCTCCCCACCCTCTTCGTCACCAAAGGCGCCAGCCAATGAGCGGGTCGGAAAGGCCGGGCCCGCGGACTAAGCCCTGGGAGGGGGAGCGGCGGGAGGGGAACGGGAAGTCGAGGGCGGGCTGCATTTGATTGACGGATGATCGAACCAGTCCTCCTCGCGGCTTCTCTTCGCTCTCTCCTCTGCTGGGCTCAACTCTGGTCCCACCTCCTCCTCCTCCACCCCCCCCTTCTCGCTCTATTCCGACCCGCCCCAATTCCCTTCCCCCCACTCTGCGGACAAATCGCTGCTGGAAAGAGGCGGAGGCAGAAGCGGCGGGCTCGTGTGGAGACTTGAGGTGGGATTGACGGGCGATCTGGCCAATCAGAGGTGGGCTGATGGCGCGGCTGTGGCTGGAACAGGCCAATAGACGGGCGGGCTGGGGGCGGAGGCCCAGGTTCCAAACGCTCCGCGGCGCCATGGGCTGAAAACTCAACCGAGATGGAATCTCCCAGTCTGAACCGGTTTCAACCGGTTCCGAGTTGAGGCACTAGGAGGAGGGGGAGAAGCGGCTGCAGCGGCCGCGGCAGGACCAGCGGGAGCTACAGCATCAGCAAGAGCAACAGTAGCTACAGCCCCGGCGGCGCTGCCTCTTCCAGTCTTTGCTGCTGCAGTCCGTGCAACCACCCGAGGGGAGGGGGAACCACCAGTCGCTGAGAAGCAGGAGAAGGGGGGAAAGTTTAGGCGAGCCGGGGTGGGGGGGCCAGCGCCGGAGCCGCGTGAGAGAGGGAGCCGTGTTTTGGTAGGGGAAGTCGGACTGCAACTGGCGGCTGAGCGTCCCCCGGCCGTGTGGACTCTACACCCCGACTCCTGCCGCTCCCGCCGCCGCCTGTAGCTGGAGGGTCCCCCCGGGGCTGAATCTTTGGGACTTGACCCCGTTCCCCTCCCCCTCCCCTTACTCCCCGGCCAGGCGGGAGCCTTTATTTCTCAGATTAATTCCCCTCCTTTATTGATTGTGTCTGGGAGTGTGTATGTGTGTGTGTGTCGCAACGAAGTGTCCCTGTGTTAGTTCTACTGTTGAGCCGTGTGTTTTTTTTCTTTTGCCCTCAACTCTTTTGATTATTTAATAACATCTTATACAGGACGTAAAACGTGAGAGCAGACGTTGTATTACCTCTCTGAGTCTATGAACCAGTTGTGCTATGTCATATCTCTCATATTCGACATGAACACTTAAATAGTAT